AAGCGGTGCGTAAGCACTCTTCTTCTGAATAAATGTAAACACAGTAATACAGGTGTTTACACTTAAATTAAAAATATTTGATCAAAGAAAAACCGGAGTAGGACTAGAGAGATGAATATGGCTGTAACGACCCACAGGAGACACGACATTAACAGCACATTTCATTCCTTTAAGCAGCTCCTTTAATTCCACATGACGCTGCTAAAAAGGACAGATTTTCTTTTCTCCATCTCAGAGAGCAGGACTTCAATCTCCGAACTCGTTAAGTTCTTTTTTACACTGCGATGTCATTCATGAATGGACACTTCCTGGTATGTGGGGCGGGAAACGTATATCCTTATATGGTGTTTTTGGGGTGGTAATTATGTAAATAACCTCTCCTCGTGCACGAGCAGCTGAATACGAACAGGTGTAATTTACGCAGCTCATTTACGCACTTTTCCTGAAGATAGAAGAGTTTGTTGAATCTGACGTGACATGTTCGTACGAACACTTCATATGAACAAAGATAAGAAAAATTTAGGATAAGAATACGAACATGTTCTTGCATGAGGCCCAATGAGTGCAGGATTTTACAGCATCACGTTCTGTAACATTAAGTAGATTTGTCCTCTAAGTTCTGGTTAGGMTGAGGATGGCATTTATGGATGTTCTTAACCAAGATTTATTTGTCAGGATCTGTGTTTTTGTGTTACTTTTTGGTAATTTTTTTGCGTTTTGTTCTTAGGGATGTTCATTTTTTGTTTATTTTCAGTATTTTTGGGGTTTTTATTTCTGTTTCTTTGGCTTCCCTTGTGCCACCAGTTCATTTTCCCAGTGCTTTTCCTCAGTACGGCCACACCCACTCACACCTGTTTAATGTCTTAGAAATGTCAGTTGTCTCTATCTTTATCCGTCCTATTAACCCCTCAGTTTCACCTCACCTATAGCTGTGCATTATTGTGCCAGGGTTTATGTTCAGTTAGGCTCCCCGTGTTTAGTTTGAACACAAAGCTGAACTTAAAATGACATATAACCTCTTGTCTGTAGGCAGACAAGAGGAAATGGGTCTGTTTGAAAAGAACTTTTTTTTTTACCTGCATCAAACAGAGAAAATGAATGACATCAGTCCAGGAAACTCAGGCCAGCTGAAACGATTCTTTTTAACTCTCATGATGACACGTCTCTAAGTCACCGCATGACAAGATTATAGGACATTATGGGAACGTGAACTCCCGGTTAGTGGACCCTTCCGCTTCCTTCACAGCTGTGCTTCAGTTGTATTACTCAGCATCACTTTCAGGACCAGGTCACACTCAGGCGATGTCATTGTGTGGATTCAGTACACAAAATATGAAAATATCATAATAATCACGTGTGCAGTGCATTAAATCTTCATTAGACTCGACATCAAATCATATTTTAGTGCCTAATCATAAATAAGGAGACTGTGTTTAAGATGGACTGATGTGGGTTTTTATTAGTACAACCTAAACTTTAGGAGAGGATGGAAAAACACTTCACCCTGGAGGACTTGCTGGCACCGCTGCTGACATGAATAAACTTCCTATATAGGAAATTTCCTGCCTTTCTGCATTCAGTGACAATACTGCGTTATAATTAGTTCAGTGYGTGCAGGGTGGGTCATGATTTAATTAAGTAAGCAGAGATGGGAAGTGGGGTGGTACCATTTCCTTGACGAGAAACAGGTAGTCAGATGGATACGGGTGTGGCTTTATTTTAGAGCTGGGCGATATGATCAAAATTTTATATCACGGTATTTTCAACATTTTCACCGGTTTCACGGTATTTGACGGTATTTTTCTTTTCATCACAGCTCAGCTGATAATAAAATGTACAAACCCTGCTTATTGACTTTTTTCTTTTACTGTACCTCTGTCTGTGTCGCTGTTTCCCTCCTCTGTGTCTGTTCTTCTCTGACTGGTGGTTGSAGACAGTAGTCACGCATTTTGGTCCAGTTGTGAAGGAGGAGGTTTAAGAAAAGATTATGATCGGGTTTATTGTTTTATATTATTTATTAAAGCTTATCAGCATGACTCATCTTGCACACCAGTCATTTCTAACTCCACTACAAACRACTTCCTGCAGGATTTTCACAATAGAACCACGTTAAGTCTCCATCAGCATAACGTCTCCATATTAACTAACCGCGTTAAATCTAACTGTACACGTCACTGAAGAGGTGTTTACTACATTCAGCGACGGTGAAAATGGGATGTTTTTTTAAACGTCAGTCAATATAAGCAGCAGAATCGCCACCCGCGGCGGCAACTAGCTGCTCCAAACATTAGCATGCTAACGCACATAGCGGTGCAGCAAGGAAAAATGTCCCCCGGGAAACAACAGTTCACTGGCGGCTGTGACGAAACATTCCGCTATTTAAAKCGGAATATCAGGTATTCAAAAAATTCATATCATAACAAAAATAAAAACCGGTATTCGGTACAAAACGGTATACCGCCCAGCACTACTTTATTTATAAATATAATATATATGATTTGTTTTTTTTTTTTGTGCTCTGCACTCAAAGGCATCAATAAACACTCCAACATTCAGTCCTAAATTAAAAGAGGAATTTAATCGCCTTAAAGTTGGGTTAAAAAATTATTTTAAACCTCTTTGTTGTTGTATGTATGCTGTGTGTATCAAGAGGGTGTAAAGTCACTGTTCTGTCAAAAAATCCTCAGAACACAAGTTTTACCTGAGCTAGTTTTAACTGAGCAGGGTTTTCAGTATTACACGGTTTGTCGGGTCAAGTTTTCTACCTAAGTTTGGTTAAAATGACTCGTTTGAATTACAGTTACCAATGGAGGTAAAAAGGACAACACATAATCTGGATTATTTTAAAATTAAACCGAATATCAGTTTTTTTTTTTCATAATGACTTTACTTTGTATTGCAATTCTCTTAAAATGATGCATACTATGCTCACAACCTGTGCTCTTTATTGAAGAGTATGATTTAGTATCTAAACTCTAYCACTTTATGTTAACGTTCAATTCTTTTACTTTCAATTTTTTTTAATCTATCCTCCTTGGTGCACCCATTTTTTTTATTATTTGAAATATTTGCTTTTGAAATGCACCTTGTGCCTTTTTCTGTATTAATGTTCATTAATAAGAAAAATAAATAAATTAAATATACTGTGTATTCTGGGTTATTAGGTAATTACAACTTGGGTAGTTTCTAGCTAGCTTGTGCTAACTACTGTTAGTCAGCTAGCTTGCAGAAATTATTTTAGGAAATCAAATTTACTGTCTAGAGCAAATTAAAGTTATTACTAAAACCAACTTGGTAAAAAAGTTTTTTTTTGTTAAGGTTTTAAAACTAAACATTTTTGAAGCTGTCGTAGCGCTACAGTTTTCTGTTTCAGCTCTTTCTCGCTGCTCCTCTCACACACCTGGTCTGATTTACTCATTAGCACACCTGTTGTTCGTTAGGCTGGTCTCTCAGTCTACAGTGTACAGACTATTTTGAAACTCAGTCTACTTTGAATTTATTGTCCAGTTTTTACCAGGTTTCCTTTTGTGACGTTTGCTCCCTTCTTGAGCTATTGTTGGTTTTTCTTTCTCTGGTTTCTGGTTTTGGATTCCCAAATTTTAATTTCCTGCCTTGTTAGACTTTTGGATTTATTCTTGTTAAAGCATTTTGTTTTGTCACATCTCTGAACTCTAGCCAGTTTTTGATGTATTTTACACTGACTTGTTTTAGATGCTTTGATTTGTTTTTACGTTATTATTATTATTATTCTAGAATGGTCCTTTATAAATGTATGTCAACAGAAGCTGTGAGAAATGATGAAAAACTAAGCCTGTTGTGGGTTTTTTAGGACACAGAGGAGCAGATTGCCATAAAGCAATGTCGTCAGGAGCTGAGCGAGAGAAACAAGGAGCGATGGTCTCTGGAGATCCAGATCATGAAGAGGTCAGTTTCAAATGCTTGCATCTCTTTGCTTTTCCTAGTATCCATTTAGTCCAGTCTTATAACTCTGGCGTTTTCTTTCAACCATTCAAGGTTACTGAATCGAACAATTATTTTACCTTGAATGTTCACAAAATCTGTTTATGAACACAAGGCAGAAAATGTTCCTGTTAGGCAGGTATATTTATAAAAATAAATCAATGTTGAAGTTTGGGACATTTCAACCACACTTKTAGTGAACTGGTGAAAATGTCTGAACATGAAAATGGAGTTCAAAAAGGCGTTGTGCACACATTGACCCAAAGTTTAATTTAAATCAGCAGCAGCTCTTCTGTCTGTGTTCTCCTCGAGTTAAACCAAAGCTCAATCATTTTACAGACGGAAGAATGGGTTAAAGAAATCTGGTGATTTAAGTGGCGAATTTAATTAGTTTCCAAATAAGTTTATTGTGTTTTGCAGTTAAGTTTCCATATCCAGCAGACTCTCAGTTTTAGGGATCATAATTAAACTGTGTCCTAACTTGACACAAAACAAAAGCTTCAGAGAAAAGTTTAAACCGAAATGGAAAAAAAAATTGCAATGAGAGAAAAAAATATATATACATGTGAAAAATAAATAGAAGTTAAAAAGCAAAAAAATTACATTAGGTAAAAAGATAATAAATACCATCATAAATAAAAAGAGCAATATGCATAACTTTCATAAACTAAGTGTAAATTTTGTGTTTTTAATCTTTGAATTTCTTTTTTTTCTATATTTTGAGTGAAATGAATGTATTTTTTTAAACAAATGCTAAAATAGACTCCTTGATTGTTTTGGCTCCTTCTGTTTTGTGAGGCTGGTTTTTGTTTGACCCATGACAACGTTGGTGTTTATGGGTTTGACATTTGACTTTTACGAACTCGTCTGTTTCTCCAGTTTTCTCCAAAAACAAAAACGAGTTTCGTTTCCTTAAATAGTAAAAATCCAACATTAAAAAAATTAGGGCAGTGTGGTGTGTTTGGGTTATTTTGATGACTTTGGTTATTTCTAGCAGCATAATATTCCGCCTCTTCATTTTTTTTTACCCAAACACATCTGTTAACAGTTTTTTTAGGTGTCAGATTCCTGCAGTTGTGTGCCAGCTCATGTGGGTTGAGATGTTCGTGAGCTGCGAAGTGTGTGTGTGTGTTGTTTCCCCCATTTGATGGTGCAAACATGAATGCAAAACCATTTTTCTTCATTTTACTTTAACAAGCGTGTTGTGTTTGAACAGACATGGTTAGAACCGCAACCGTCCCGTTCACCCACGCTTAACTGCTGGAACAACCGCAGGGCAGGGGACATGGCAACATAATATTATATAATTACAGCTTCTTAACACACATTTAGGCGCACGCAGCAAAACATCTCACTTTGTTTATTAGCCATAATGTCTTTATAAAGTTTTTTTGCTGGAAGGTTTTTGTCCTTTAACAATTGAAAAGCATAATACTGAGCTTATTACAATGTGGCCAGTATTCAGAAGCTTCACTTTATACTACTTTTTGTTCAAGCAGTTTTTGCCTCAGGTTTTTCTTGTGTAGCAAAGATTAGCAGACACTTTCTTTGGAATCTTGCTGCATTTTTCATGGCAGAAAGATTTGAGCTCCACCTTAAAGCACCGGGAACCCTGTTTGTATTCTTCACAGGGTTTTTATCTAGGTCTGTGTCCACTACTGATTCAGTTTTTTTTTTTTTTTTTTTTTGCAGTAATCTCTGTTTTTAATCTTCAGGTTATTGTCTTATTACACCAGTGTGATTCTCTGTGCACAAGAAAAGATTAAAAAAAGAGGGTCACATAAGATCACTTCTAGTTTTTTGCTTATTCTGCAGCCACACTTTCCTCTCTCCTAAACTTTAGKTCTTACCTGAGTCACAGGTTTTCTCTCAAAATAGCCACAAAATRGATGCAGGTGTTTCAAACTCTTCTCAGATTTGTCTCAAGAGTTGTATTTTGACACCTGTAGGGAGCTCTCTAACTAAAAACCTGTCTATATCTTAAAAAAACACTCTGATCATTATTATTTATTTAAAAAAAACTGGGCTTGTATTTATCCAGCTTCTTAYAATTACTCTTAAAATGCTGTTAAGAATGAACTTAAGTGTGAAAAAAATCTTAGCTAAAACCTGAGCGTAAAAGTCAGTTATCAAGTGTCTCAGTCTCACTTTAAGTGAAGCGTAAAAGTAATTCTTACGTGTCAGTCTTAGAGCTGATTTACGACACTTTGCTGCGGTGCGAAGCTGATCCTGGATGATGTCGTTAAAACCCTGGGCATGGACCAATCAGTGCATCAGATTTCATCTTCAAGAATATTCTGAGAAACGTCAAAATAAAACTGAAAATCCTAAAATAGGTTCACATTTGACACAATGTTCATACAAGTCACGTTGTACTGATTTGTCATAAATTACATAAAAATTCCTCATTTACATCATGAATAAAAAAAACTCTTGCAGATTATTTCAAAACCTGCAGCTTGTTGTTTTTTATGTCTCAAAGCCTGAGGCAATGTTATTTGTACTATCCTCCTCCTCCTCCCTCTTCCCTAAACTAACTGGTCAGAGAACCCAGATTTTGTGAAGTTTGAGTTAAAGAAAGAAAACAGAATAAAAGAAAAGTTCAATCCCACCATCACCAGTGGGGACAAAAAGAGACAAATCAAGACTTTTGACAGCATCGTCTGCTCAAATCTGATCAATTTTAAAAGCRGCCTAGAAATATCCACCTTTTYGTCAAACATTACGTTACTGGTAATCATTTCCCCCCTTCRTTCTCTTGRATTGATGACTAAACCTGTTTTCCACACCTTATTTTAGTTSCTCTGTATTGTAACTGAAAATCACACTCAGTGCAGTTTCTGAGGTGGTGCAGAGGATTCTTGAGGAGGACAGCTGTTCTCTGTCTTCAGTCCATCTCAGAGTCCTAGTGGCAAAACTTAACCACTTAAGAGTCCTCTGGAGAAGTCTTAACTTTTCAGGAGAYTAAGAGTGATTCTTAGACGTAAGAATTTTYCTAATTTGRTTTTACACTTAAGTCTAAGGAGTAAATCTAAGACAMTTTCAGCACTTAAGTCTAAAATTCAAATCMAAGAAGTTTGATGAATACAAGCCTTGGCCTGAGTCTGTCCACCTTCATTTTTGAAAGTGGTCTCTAGATCAGRGGTTTTCGACCTTTTTGGCTTCCGGCCCACAAAATAACCGCTGCAGAAACTTGAGTCCAGATGTTACTGGTTTCTTTATGCAAACTTTGCTAAAAAAAAACTGTTAAACATGGGAATAAAAACAATGTAAACAAACCTAATAACTGATACTACTTCTACTCATTTATTTATTTATTCATTTATTTATAACTATAGTAAAAATGGGTCATCTAGGGACCCTCACTTGATGTTTCATGACCCACAGAGGGGTCCTGATRCCAACTTTGGGAAACACTGCTCGTAGATTAAATCGTAAACCTGAGGGGTGCCAAGGTGTGTGACCATGACACTCAAAGACCACTTACATACCAAGAACAAGCTTCTGCCTTTTCATTTAAAATGAATTTATGGACAAATGTGTGGAAAATTCCTCATGATTTTGATGAGATGGAAAACTGGAGGTGCAAAATATTTGTATGTTATTTTCAAATTAGTTTGATTATTCAAAAACATAGCAAAACTCTATAAATGTGAAGAAACAACCATTTTAATGGCTGAAAACTTCAGCCTAGACCCATGTTTCCTGCTAATAAAGCTGTTACAACACTGATTTCACAGCTCAGTGTTATGGTTACAGTGTAAAACAATATCCTTGTACATCTGATAGAGTTTATCTCTCTGTTCCCTTTTTCTTAATTTAATCTCTGTGAGATTAAATAAAGAGGAATGGAACCTGAAAACACTGAGAGAAAAGAGCAGGTAAAAAAAAAACAGGTCAAAAGTTTAATTGTATAAAATAACTATGAAACATTATAAGTATTTTAAGGTACCAAACTTTTCAGTTTTAAAAGAAGACAGAGAGCTTTTGACAGGAAATGTTATTTTAGGACAAACTGTCTGATATCTGTGGACTTGTGGTCACTCAGGTTGGATCATGTTAATGTGGTCGCGGCTCGAGAAGTTCCTGAGGGGATGCAGAAACTGGTGGCCACCAATGATCTGCCTCTGCTGGCCATGGAGTACTGTCAGGGTGGAGATTTGAGAAAGGTGAGAGCTTGTGTTCAGATCAGAACAGCTGAATCACCCTGAATTAACACGTAACCTTTATTCTAATGTTCTCCATCTCCAGAAACACCAAGGTGTGTTTTTAAAGTTTGTGTTGGGACTATCGTATGAGTTTGTGAAACACCAAGTTAAGGGGTTCTTGGGAAGATTTAGAGAAATTAAAGCAAATGTAAAATGTCTGTCATATTAAGCCTAAACTGTTACAGATATAAACAGTGGTCATAAATGGATGAAAAATAATATAATTAACACGTTTTTTTTCTAAATGCCTTATTATCAATGTTTGCATATTTCATTCTACAATAGTTGGAGTCACAAGTTTGCAACTTTTATTTTGGTGGGTTAAAAGAAAAAACATTTAGGGTTTCCAGKTATGTTTACCCCCAGATTGGACTGCTTTAAATTTAAATAATAATCAGATCTGTAGAAATGTTGTTTTGGTCCTTTTATACTAGGGGTCTGCAAACTGTGGCTTTAGGAAGCTTTGACCAAAGCTTAACATGAGATTAATTTCTTTGTTTTATATGTATTTTTAGCTTTATTAAGTGCCTCCCCCCCCACTCCCCACTGGTCCAAACAAACTCGAAGAGGTCCACGGACCACCAGTTGATAATCACAATTGTAGCACGTTTTGCGGTTCCGGACACTTTTTTTTTTAGTGAGCCGAGGAGCAGAAATGGCTCTTTTGATTGTAAAGCTTGCAGACCCCTGCTCTGTACTAAACAAATGTGACAATATTAAAAAAGTAACCTGAATACAAATCTTTTCATTTTAGAAAACTGAAAGAAAAAAAATTATTAAAACTGCCACCATGGAGGAAAATATCCAATAATATATTGTTAGCAAAAAAGTAAGGACATTTGTGTTTGGTAGATTATTTCTTTGTTGTAACAATGCTTCTTGACAGTCAATCTTATGCCGTAGGAAAGCCTGTTCTTTTCCCTTTTAAATTATGCCACATTTATAAGGAACATGCATTTATGGGATGAGCAGTAGAGATGAGTATGTGGGTGGTGCACATGAAACAATTGCCAAATGCCAATCAGGCACCTGGTAAAAGATTTATTTCCCAGAATCACTGTTCAAACAAAGATAATCTACCAAACATAAACTTCCTTACTTTTTGTTTAAAGTTTATGTTTGTGCTTCAAGTTGTGCCTCATCTGATTTCCTTTCTGAGTAACTATACTGAAAGTAGTTTTTCCAGAGAAAAAGCTAAGTTAAAAACATCAGTAAAAAGCAGAAAAATAAACCTCGGTGACTTGTGTTGCTTTCTCGATGCTGTGTGTTTGTGCTCTCTGCAGTATCTGAACGTCCTGGAGAACTGCTGTGGAATGAGGGAAGGCTCCGTTCTGATTCTCTTATGTGACATTTGTGAGTATTTGGTCCAAAAAATACATCTTCAACGTGACTTATCATAACCGTGTCAGATTACTTGTGTAAAAAATAATGATTGAACTAATTAAAAGGTGAGCTGGCACAGTGATTAGTTTTCTGTAGTAAGGAGGAAAGTTTCCGGGTGAAGAATAACATGAMGTCATCCGTGACCCGAAACCCTCAGCTGCTTAGTCACGACAGCGACCGCTCCCACTCACACTGAGGTTTACGTCAAGGGTCACACACTCACGTTGTCGTAAATTAATATGACCGCACAGACCGTGCCTCCCATATTCCAACAAGTTGGAAGAAAGCGACATGTGGTGTGGATCAGAACGTGTTTAAATATGTGAGGAAAGATCGGTTTGCACACACAGAAACTCCTTTTCCTGACGTGAGCTGGTGAACATTTCCTGATAACGGCAGATCCCTCTTTAACTGTCATGAGTGAGGGCACCAACTCGGCCCACACCCACAAGCTCAGACACTCATTCAGGTCACCAAARGTAACAAAAACCCCTCGGCTGAATGGTTTTTACCAGGAGACAAACATTAGTAACCCTCTGACGCACAAACAAGGTGACTTCAGAGTTTCTGTTTACACACAACTGTTTTTTTAATTTATAACACAAAATAAGAAAGTAGGTCACAAATACAAATGTTTTATGAATTACATCATTTTGTCTGAACAAAACATGCCTTCTTGTTTTTACATTTTAGATATCAAAACTACCTAAACATGGCCATCAAAATTAGGTCTGAGGGAATTCTGCAGGACTAAAGCCATGATTTAGGGTTGATCAGTAATTTTGAAATGGCTTTTTTTTTTTACATAAACTTGCTCAGAATTAGAGCAATCCTCATCTTTTTAAAACCTTTAACTACCAAACCACCTCTGCCTCTTCTTTTCGATCTTTTAGCCTCAGCTTTAACCTACCTCCACAGCAAGAGGATCATCCACAGAGACCTGAAACCAGAAAACATTGTGCTGCAGCAGGGAGAGAAGAGGGTGAGTTTTGAAACACAAGCCACAACAAAGAGGCCTTTGCTCTGTGTGGGTTACTAAAGGAAAAAAACAAAACAATATTCAACCACATGTTTATGCTTTTTTGGAATATTTAATTTGGAAAACCTTCATGGTTTGAAATGTGGATATTCTTTTCAGGATGGATTCATTGAGCTTTGTTAGATTTTCTCAACTGTTACCTATTTTGTTAGCCTTTTTTTAAAGTTTTTTTTCATAGCRGCTATTTTACCCCAGCTTCCTTGTTGCTGCTCTGACACACACCTGCTTTTCTTTGCGATCACCCAGCTGCATTCATTCAGTAATCACCTAGTATTTATTGTGCCTTACTTCTCTAGATCATAGTTGCTCCTTGTGGTTAGCCATAATATCTTGGTGTTGTCTACCTGTTTGGTTTTAGTTGACAAACATTTTGATTATAAATGTCTGCTGCTCCATTTGAGTTTAAAACTCTGCATTTAAACTCAGTCAGTGTGAAGGCCTCGCTCCTCATTTTCTCTATTATGCAACAAATGATTGCATGTCATACTCCGGCCCAGCAAAGAAAACAGGAAAATGTTATAAACTGTGGCCAGACTTGTTAAAGAGGTTATATTCATGTTTATAACCTGGGTTTATTGAAACTGAGCCCAACAAACTTCATGGGTTTAAATTTACAGTTTGGTTTAAACACGTGTGTTTCTTGAATACAAGAAATAAACTGAATGTGCCATGAATCCTGAATTATAAGTTTGTGAGGTGAAATTATTATTTTAGGAAATACAGTATATTTGTGTTTGACACACAGCTGATATGAATCCACAGTCGACAGTTAATGTTAGTTAGGCTCTACAACAGGGCCTACAAAATTCATAAAAAACTTCCTGGTTGGACTCATCACTGTACAGTTCTTTCATTGTCTGATGCCTTGACTTTTCAGAATTATGTTTTGTATAGAGGTATTAATTTATATTTTCAGATCTTCCAAGGTGCCAATTATGGAACTCTCTGTGCATTGTTGCCCAAATCAAATTCTGGAAGTGGTCATTCAACTAGATCTGTTACAAAAGGACAACTGATATTACCAATTTTTAAAAACAGTTACGGCCAGAGGTCTTTTTTTTTACTTTTAAAACTTTTAATTGTGATGACAATGCTTGTTGGCTAATCAAAGTAAAAGCCAAATTACAGTGACTGTAGTACTTCGTTTACAACCCAAAATGAACAAAAACCTTAAAAAAAATTTCAACGTGTTTAGTTAAAAAGCAATTGCACAATTTTCTAAATT